ATGAAGCTGAAGTTTCTAGCACAAATCACATTCTCTATATATATCACTTAGGTCTCTAGCACAAAATATTCTATCCAAGATGCAGAAGCTGTGATGCTGAATCGGCGTAGGTCATCAGGTAGATAGTCCCAGTCTGATAACGGTCTTTCAGGGTGGCCAAGCGTCTGTCGCTGTTGGCGAATCTCTTATTTCGGGGTTGAGTAGTGCCTCCTGCATCTCTCTGGACCCGGTTGATGTCATTCACGTTCTGTATGTCTTTAAACGTCTGGATGATGGTGTAGATGTTGGGGTGGGCATGCAGTACTCTTTTCTTCAGTGTTCCGTGCCAAGCTTCCAGATGGTTGGTAGTCCGAGGTCCTTCTGTTGAGAAGTGGTTCCAGGTTGGTCAGTCTACTTCTACTTATTGTTCTGTGACGTAGTCTGTGAAAAGAAGCACGGGATGTGGTATGTTTGCAGCAATCACCGTAGAGAGATGATTTGGCAGTGTAAAATGTTGGCAGTCGCTGGACCACGGTTTTGGTGGTGTCATCCCAGTCGTTGTCTCGGAGTTGGTTGAGTTCCTCGTCGAAAATGGAAGGTATGGGTCTGATATATTCTACCCAGCGGTTGGTGATCTGGTTCATTATCTGTTTTGCAACAACACTGGCTGGGTCTGCGCGTGTTTGTGTTGATGACTTCCGAAGTTTGCTGGTATATTGTTTACTGTCGAGAGAGATGCTGAACAACCTGAGGTTGAACATCTCCGGAATGTTCTGTCGCCGTTTCTACGTATTTGTCTGTAGATGAAACCATCATGGGAAAGGTTCTGTCCCTCTCTTCTATTGGTGATGAACTTAACGTTGATCTGAGCGTTTGCCATCTTGTAGTTGATGTATCAAAGCACACAATTACAGATAATAATATCAAACTGAAGTCACACAAGTTAAACACAGTTCACACAAATCTGAAATATTGTTTTATAAACAAGTTTTATATGACAATAATTATAAGAGAATTCACACAAATCTGAAAATACAAGTTTAACTAATATCTGTGTATCAAAGCACACAATAACAGAAAATAATATCAAACTGAAGTCACACAAGTTAAAATCTAAAAATAAGTATAAGTTTTCTATGACAATAATTATAAGAGAATTCACAGAAATTACACTGAGTAAAGAAGATGATGTGTCCATTTAACAGCTTGGGATCGGAACTCTAAATATTAATTATTATTTTGCAATTATTAGCAGTTAATGATTATCTGATTAGTTATCAGAAGTTGATTTACCCGTGCATTGTACCTGTACACCATTTCTGCAATAGACTATAACTCATCATCATCACAACTGACCACCTATGTAAACATGTAATTTTAAGCAGAGTTGGTGTTCAGGGAAAACCCCACTGGTAGTACATACTGTCTGCTATATATACAGCGGTAGTACATACTGTGTACCCCATATACAGTTGTAACACATAATGTCTTTGATATGAGCTTTTAAATGTCGCTTATGCTGTTACATGTACGTACATTACACATACAATGAGTGTTATTTTGTCTCATTTAATTAACATAATTTCTACATCTGTTACAGCTTGGATGGGGAATTTATAATGATCTCAAGAATTGGAAAGCTCACGATTCGTTATTTAAAAGCTACATGCCTGTTTGTCATGTTTCAGTTAATGGGTTAATGTTGTCCTTGAATTTCTTGAAAAACCCTTATACACGAGTTATACAAGTAGGCGTTATGCGTTATCGCTCCATCACACATTCAAGTATGTAGCGTGATGTCACAGACTAAACGCTCCTCATTTCTATATTTCTTATATAGAGATAATGCGATGAACATACCCTGTTTGTTTATCACACCGAGCAGATACAATACACTGCATTGTAACATTTGTAATCATTGTGCATGCTTTCTCTTAATGCCAGATTAAAACAGACAACAAGAGGAACAATGGATAATGATAAGGAATCTGTGTGTGAAGAAGGGGCTAATCCAGACGAAAAGGGGAAATGGTCTTCAAAGTTTGAATCATTGGTTGTACTGTTGGGTTACTCTATAGGCCTGCCGGAGACATGGAAACTGCCATTTCTAGTGTACAGGAATGGAGGGGGTATGTATTAATGAGTTACCAGTACCTAGGATTCTAACTAAACGAGGTTAAAGGATTTTATTTTAGTACAAAGATATGGACAGACGTATTACCTTTAATTAGCTATATAGATTAGCTATGTAAAGAAGAATCGCGACCGTTTCAAAGCATTTCTTTGAGACTTATTTCCGTTAGAGCTGATCAACATTGTGTGAAATGCTTTCCGAATGTTGTTCTTTTTTTATTATGTACTAGTTTTCAAAATATATATCAACGTTTAGAAAACATTATTTATTATTTGAAACACAAACATTTTATATGAAAATATAAATATCAGACACTCAGAGACAATGTACGCAGGAGCATTAGACTCTGCTATAACGATGATTGGGGTGCCATATTTTCGACAACATGATATTATCGAGAAATATTCTGTTTCCTTGTGCGATATGTACCACAAAGTACGGGGGTTAAATGTCGTCTAGGTATAGGTGTAGTGCTGCTTTAGGAGCACCATCTACTTTCTAAACCGCATGGCGATTTAACAGTCGTTGTGAAAAATTCTCCACTCGTTCATTGTACACGTTATTGGGAAAGATCCTTCAGTCGGACAAAACAATGTTCGTCAATTATACTTTTTTATCAGTCTATGGCTTCCTGACAAATGTTTAAACACTCATGACTGTAAATTAGAAATATTGAATGTAACTTTAAAACTTAATTGGAGTACTAAAAAATCATTTTATAAAACGCTCACAAACACAAATGGATTCATCCTTTTCATAAGGCTATAGGTATTTTATTGACAATTTTGAATGGCTATTTTTTATGATGTCGGATTGAAACGAATAAGATGTTAACTTTTTAATCTGACGTTACCTTCTGATACGAGGTTCCATCACGGCGTCACTTTCTGTTTTAGTTTGGAGACTGGTGTGGTATGTGATGTGTTAGGTAGTTTTATAAAAAAAACACATGTAATGTTTTACACGTTGTTAAAATGTGTGTGGTTTGTTTTATAGGTGCATTTCTGATCCCGTACGGTATTTTGATATTATTATGTGGATATCCTCTTTACTTCTTGGAGCTTGACCTGTCACAGTTTGCTGGTTCCGGGCCATGGAAAATATGGAATATTTGCCCGATATTAAAAGCTATATACACATTTCTAAGGTTAACAAATGATACAAAAATATTTATATATGTACACACTATATTTACTTATTTTTAATCCTTTTTTTATTACACAATATAGCATGTAGTCAGTCCGCCTGAAGAAGACCTAGAAGGCAGAAAGGCCTAGTGGTAGATCTTACATATTTATTATTTTATTCTATACATACTATAGATATTCATGAGTAAAATATACTGATTTATTTTCTTTCAATGTTTAACTTGCGATATTATAATTTGAAAAAAAGCTGTACAGGAAAACGCATTTGAGCATATGTAATGGTTGTAAGATATTTCTACATGTACGTATCAATATTGCTATGATTTTTTTCATATTCTTTTTACATTTCTGTAACATTCAAAACATGCCTTTCCTCCCCGGTTTATAGTGTTTTAGATATTACTGTTCCTTTTAAGTATCAACAATAGATAAATGATTTGAGGTACCAAAATCAAGACCTTTATATACATGTACTTCATTAATATAATTATATCTTTACAAAACAATACACCTTAACGTCACGACCATGCTGTAGGGGAAACAAACAATATTGATTGAGATATCTACATGCACACAAAGTTTACACGTATTCCAAGTGCATACAACAAAATTTATATTTTGGTATTGTTTTTTAAACTAACTGCGAATAAAATAATTCAGTAGTACAATGTACTTCATTTACATTTTAACCTAACAGAAACATTTAATTTTACTGTTTTGAACCAATTCCGTTGAGCAACTATAACCTGCGTCGACTTCTGCAGCTTGTAGAAAAAATGTTTAGGAAATGTATTCCCTGTCACAACAATAGGCTGCACGTTATTGAAATGCCTAGATAAGCGACATTTGCCTATTCGTATAATTCAGGTTTGGGATTGTCCATAGCGGCCATCAACCTCCTGACAGTGTTGTTTGACAACATCGTACAGTGCTGGGCCGTAGAATACCTCGTCAACTCCTTTAGCACGGTGCTTCCCTGGACCACGTGTGATAACTATTGGAACACACTATTCCATCGACACTTCCTCATCATTATCATTCTCCAGTGGAACTCTCCAATCAAATCTGAGCAGTGATTGGTCAAATATCACTGAGGTATGCTTAAACTAATGTACATATTGTATTAAATAAACTACAATGTCATCTACATTTTCACCGGGTCTTTGTAGAATTTTGGGAGGAGATATTTTGCTTCTTCCTGCTTGTAAAAAAAGGACAAAAGCAATATATACTGTCGTCATTGTAACACGTTTGTCTTTATTCTTGACCGATCTACTGTTGCCTTGTGGTTGTATTTACAAATCCCGGTATAAATAAGCCTAAAGCAATTGCTGTCTGTTGTTTGTCTCCTCAGTAGTTTCCATTACATCATTAATCGCCTCTAACAATAATGCAAAGGAATTACAGCAGATCGATTGTTTAAAAGGGACCAGTGGTGAGAGAACTTCTGGAATAGCAAACAAAAATCGAACTTAGAACATAGCTATGTGATTCCGTTACCTACGACCTCGATTAGACTCATTATGGTAACATCCAGTATATAACTGTTTAACATCTAATACATAAAAATAATAGTTTTAAATACCACTCATGTCCGTATTATTGCAGAATACAACAATATGCTTACTAATCGTTTGAATATTGATTATAACATGATTGCACGTGTCAGTGGCCCGAGCTATTACATCACTAGTTTTCTATTGTGTACACTATGGTAACTTGACTTGTGTTCCAGCGCTCCGACCTTGGGTTTAACGCATCGACTCCATTAATGAAAGTGTCGTCGGTGGAAGAGTTTTGGAAGTATGTCTATTAGAAGTGTAATTTGTTGTGTTTTATGTTCCTTGATACATGTAGCATATATTGTGTACCTTCCGAATTAAATGGCAGAGTAATGAGATGTACCTTTAAATCAATAACGTTTGTAAAGTTTAAATTTTATTTTGGATCTACCTCTACACGTTATCCACATTTTCTTCCAACTGTTTTGATATCGTGCTTCTTGAGACTTCGAACTCCGGTAAGGGACAGGTTATGATTAACCTGAAGCAACAGTCCTGGATTGATAATTCTTGATATTGGTTTAGTAATACACAAAAACACATTTTATTATTGGTTGTTGCTAAATTATATCATCCAAATATATTGCTCCATTAGTGCGATGTGCATGGCAACATTACAACCTCTTTTAATGCGTGACTAAAGGTAAATAAAATAGAAAGGGACGATAAAGGATTCGGAACATTTTGTCACAAAAACGTAGGAAATGAAGTTTTAATACTTATTATTTAGAAATGACAGAAATTCAAATACTCAACAGCATTTAATAAGGCTTAGCAGTACTATTCTACCATGTGTATCGATGAATAGACTGATGAATATTTTGTTGCATGTAGTTGTTTTTGTTTATGGTTTGTTGTTTCTAAATGTCACTGTTGATTTTTAGTATCAAGGTGGAGGACAGGAACTTGACACTGTGTTTGACCTTGTCTGTACCCTTCGTATACCTTTGTTAAATAACTGTTTAAACCATCCATTGAACCAACCGTATGTAACACGGTTATATGTATATCTATGGTCAAATATATTTGTTTTCATAATGAATTTCAACAGGTACAAAGTCTTGCGGATATCTAGCGGTATTGACGACATCGGCGATGTCAACGGAATGTATATTGTTTATATGGCTATTATCAAGGTCATCGTTTGCTGTGCCATAGCAAAGAGTTTCAAGTCACTTGGAAAGGTAAACCTAGGTCACCACACTAGTTGACCTCTCATATTGCTAAAATGAGAAAACATATATCAAATGTCAGAAATTGTATTATACTGAAGACCTTTAGATGTCTTTCTGTTCACTTACATTACCTGGTCATATACTTTCTATACTGGACCTAAATGATTATGGCCCGTATTCATGTCATCTCAAAAATTAATTTTGTGCACTAACAAACCTTCTTGTAACTCCCCTTAATCATGTGAAAATATTACAAACGGTCTATCGCTATAAGTCTCTTCAAAATTCTTTTAACGTATTGAAAAAATATATTTTTTTTGTGTAAATTAATCATGGCAACACAAATTGTGCTTGAGTATGGAATGTAAGGTTGAGCATTACACGGTATCCTGAATACGAACCTATGTGTCACCAGATCTCAAATTCGGCAATGAGAACCTATGACTATGAAAATCGAGTGTTTAAATACCACCACAACTGTTTATCTAAGGTTACAGGATATCTTCCTATATAATTCAACAGGTCATGGTTGGATGGTTGCGGGATATCTTCCTATATAATTCAACTGGTCATGGTAGGATGGTTGCGGGATATCTTCCTATATAATTCAACAGGTCATGGTTGGATGGTTACATGCTATCTTCTTATATAATTTTACAGGTCATGACTGGTGGTTACAGGATATCTTCTTATATAATTTAACAGGTCATGATTGTGACGGCTATCCTGCCAATAATCCTCCTCGTTGCGATCCTTTTGCGAGCTCTGACACTGCCCGGATCTACCGAGGGAATGCTGTTTTTCATCAATCCAGACTTTTCAAAATTGTTAAATGCTAAGGTAGATATTTTACATATGGTTTCCGACAGTCACAGAAGATACCATGCCCCTTCTGCCGTACGTTAATGTTTTTTGTTTCCAAGATATTATGCTATTCTCTTTTCTGTAATGAAACTAAAATTCGTATTAGGACTTCTTATTAAACTTGCTTTTTTCTGGATGGTTAGGGTTGGGGGTAGGGGGGTTGTAGTTGGCAGAAAGGGCAAACGTTGTAAAATTTCTTTCTGTTAAACGTGCTCCTAATATTCCCTTTGTAAGTCACATATCAGGGTTGTTGTAACATAATAGAAAAATGCTTTTTGTACAAACTTTCCTTGTGTTGATCAATCTCAAAGGTTAATAAGAAGTCTCAGACAGGTTTTGGAGGTTATTAGCGTTTGACCTGATGTATCCCATTGCATGGTTTGCACCCTCCTAATGAAGGTACAAAGAGACTTAAACTTATCTACTGAATTGCAACGCTTTTGATTTATGGTTTTTGATCATTTGTCTCTTACCTACTGTTACTATTTAGTATGATCGCCCTTGACTAGCAAACACAAAAGTATATAACCTGAAGGGTGTCTTGCTACAATGTCTAGATTTGAACATTTTAATAAAATGATACATTAATGCAGTCCTTTAGTTGTAGTAGTCGGGTTATTAGATCAAAGAAAAAATAACTGATAGAACAATTAATAAACAAAAGTACTTCTCCCCGCAACTCTTCCTTCAATTTATTATTTGTTTGAAAAATTACAAAAAACTTCAACTTTATTACATATCCTTATTCATTTATATACTGTTGTTATTTGTTATTTTGAAGCCAGCGTCATTACCGAATATTTTGTAGATATGGGTGGAAGCGACCTTTGTAGCATTCAACACGCTGGGACCGGGCTGGGGCGGGCTCATGATGATTGGCTGTCACAACAAGTTCAACTACAACTGTCTGAGGTCCGATGCATAGTAACCATCGTTGTTACCCTGATGTTTCTCAATTTCAGCAACACATTTTCTGTGGTGCATATTTCAAATACTGTCAATAAGAGCTCTGTGATTCAAAGGCGTCAATTAAAAAAGAAATGATTGTATCTTACCGATTCATTCACGCACTTACGCTGGTATCAAATACTAAGTATCTAGGGATACACGTGCTACCACTTTAATGGGATGAATATCTGTTAAATGTCAGATGCAAATTATGTCGTTCATAAATGTGCCCTACGGTTGACATCTCGTGACGTGATTATTTTGATCTTGTCATTTTTAGGTATTGAAAAGGCAGACAAGTAATACTGACGATGTACCCGTATTTGATCAAATTAGAAAATTAAAGCATGTGAAAAAGCCATAAGGTACACAACACAATATATAGGTTAACATAAATCGCAGTAAGGGTACTAGACGTAATATGATTAGTACGCTTGTACAGTAATATACTTTAATACCTTACTATAAAATTAACGTTATTTCTATAAACCTACAGGGCCTCGTTGATTTCTTCCGTTTCTGTGCTCCTGATTGGTCTCTTCAACGGACTGGTTGTGTTCGCTACAGCGGGGGTCATGGCTCACGAGGCAGAGGTTCCTGTTCATTCCGTCGTCACTTCAGGTAAGGGAACATTGTATATACTTTGAAAATTGTCCAAAAATAAGTAAATGTTAAATATGATCAGTGCCTACTCATATTTCCCTACATGAAGTCTTACGGTTGATCGAGAACTGTTATCAAACATATGAAAAACGACATTAAATATTTATCTATTTTTCTTATAAAAATCAGTTAAATGTTTCTCTTCCTTACAGGTGGTTTTTCAATTGGATTTATCACATATCCGAAGGCTTTGAGTTGTTTCCCTTTGCCACAGGCGTGGTCTGTGCTGTTTTATCTTGTCCTGATTCTCCCAGGGATCGACTCATTAGTAAGTTATCAATCACATTATATACTTTTATATGTATAATCTCACACTCTGTGATCTCCCGTTAGTAATTATTCCTTACTTGCTCTAATTTATCTTTCTTAAATAATAAAGAATATTTTAGTTTTTCGCAATACATGTATGTGCCCATGACCTTGTCGTGGTCTTCTGTTGGTGAATATATTTGTATTACATATGATCCGTTTACTGCTTGTAATTTATTATTATACATTTTTTTTTTTTGTCTTTGTTATTTTATGTAACTTTTTGTGTTGACAGGCCGGTACGCATTAACGTAGATAGGATGAAACATGAAAATGTTGTCTCCGACAGCACATTATAAGTCAAAGAAAGATTAATCGTTTCTTACTTCCACATCATGCTATCATTTGACAACAGTTAATAATTAATACGTTTATTTGTAACATTAGCTTGGCGTTTTTACTCTTTAAGAGTAATTATTAAGTAGCGTGTTTATGTGTCCTTTTGTTTTCTCCTTGTGTGCTCTTCTACGAGAAATCGTAAGCTCCCACAACAGATCTGCTTCTTGAATCACTCATATACATATGCATGTTTCTTCTTCCCATCTTTATAACTTTACCGTCGTTTCCGAGACGTGTCTCTTCGTAACATTAGTTTGTCTGTTATTTTAGTTTTGAAGTGATTAGTTTAACTGAAGAATGCCCTTTTCCCAGTAAACACCGATACCATATATCCTTGGATAGTATGAAAACGTAGACCAACCGTTTATATGTAATATCCATAAAAACTGAACTTACTGGTATTAGTGTTAATTCCAATACTTTCATGTTCATCCTAGGACATAAAAAATATTGTCATGAGAATAACATAAACAATACATTTGTTTCAAACTAATTTCGGCTTGGAATACAATACCAATGACAAAAACATTAATATGGTATCATGGTTTGTATTTCAGACAGTGATGATGGAACCATTCTTGCTTATTTTGGAGGAAATGTGTCCCAAGTATTTCCATAACAAGCGTGTAGCCCTATTGACAGTTACAACCATTGCCACGTTCCTTGTCGGACTCTTATTTGTTACTCAGGTAAAATTGTCCTTTTTTATCCTATTTGTTTTAAACCTGACATATTATATGCACACATTTGGTAACAAAATCTGTAACAAAGGCCTGCTTTTAGATTTTAGCTTCAGAGCTTGACATCTCCTTTGGTAAGACAATAACGTAACGGTCACCCCATAACCAAGCTGATGACAATAACGTGTCGGATGGTGCGTTCGTATATTTTCCGGTCTTAATAGTAAATTATCAGGTCTTCTAATTATACATATTAAGTCACATTTTGCATGTATCCTCTGTTCCAGTTTCCGTGTGTTTCTATTGAAATTGAGTTCAAACTGAAATTGTGTGTGTTAAATGCTATTTTGAGGGGTCATTATGAATATGTCCACCAGTCATTTCATCATGTACCAAGCTTGTTAGACTGAGTGTACGTTCTACATCGAAAAGTTTTAGTTTTATAAATTAGATATAGCAAAAAAATAGACTTACATATAAGACACGAAATCATTTGTTCTTTGATATCTTGTATGATGTCACAGATATGTAACATTTATTTGTCTCTTAATGATTAGCAAATAACAAAAAAAACACAAAAAATGGTTATAGGGTCGCCTGCCCGACCACGTGGGGTTTTTTTTCTTGGGGTACAATTGCCCTCCTTCCCAATTGAAGACCCCACACGCGCTAACATCCGGTTCAAGAAGAGTGATAAGTATAATAAAATATAATGTGTCATTGTTTTTGAGAAATACATAAGATTTATATTATAATTAAAAAGGTCCATGTATATAACATTGTCATAACATGGTCATAACCATACATAAACTGTATTCATATTCAGAAAAACCAGCATTCTTATAATGCTTCTCTTTTCCGTGTTTAAATTAATATTAAAATTATATTCAGCACAATACTAAGGTTATAGGAGAGTACGTATTCAAAATAAGACTGAAAATTGATACTACATGTAGTATGGGTTATTATATGAAGATAAAATGAGACTGGACATTATTATTATGATGAGCTATTGTATACAGGTAAGATGAGACTAAAAAGTGAGATAGATATCAGCTATACATCTCCAATACACACACAGGAATACACACATAGGGAGATATTAGCCAGGTGGCATATGACTAGTAGTTAGCGCCTGATAAGACAGCTCTTGCGAATTCCTCAAAATTGTATTGATTAATGTATATATATATGCTAATTGTATTAATTATATATCTATGTACTGTAAAGCGCGTTAGAGTAGCTTATGTTAACTAGATAGGGCGCTATATCAAATGCTGTATATCTATTTATGTATTTATGTTTTTAAGTAGCCTTATGTTTTGTTATTTATTCCAGGCCGGTGTTTATATATTTATACTTGGTATATGGTATATAGCCACGTGGAATGTCGTGGTAATTTGTTTGGTGGAGGCGATCGTGTTTGGATGGGTGTATGGTAGGTTTTCATAAACCACATATTTGTTTTTATTAAGCTCATTAATCTTAACATAATCAATCTATTTAATATGTAATCATTTGTTTCAAATATGTGTTTGAACACAATATGTCAAAACTCTTATCGATGCAGAGACATGATTAAAGCATTACTAATTTACATACAGATACTTTTATTATTGTGTCACGCTCAGTAAAAATCAGCACATATGATACATTAGAAATAAAATATTGAAAAAAACACTTTTGAGACATTTTACTAAAAACATGTACAATATTATACATAATCAAACATCATCTCATATTGGTGTTATAAAAAAGCTATGGTATATACAAATAGTCGAAAAGACTGATACAAGTATTTATGCATATTTAAAGTAAAAAACGCGTTTGTCGATTAAAACCTATCTTTGTCTAGAGTAGATGCTAGAGTCCTTTGAATCGCATTACATACTTTAATCTTATTGAACCTGTTTCCATGTTCATATCTAAAACGTTTGGTATATTGTCATCAGCTACATTAAAAACCTTAAACGGAATATTGTCATACAAAGGTGTTGGCGGTCTGGAGTAACGGCCCGTTTCCAATGCAAGTGGTAGCGATCCATTGCGAAATAGAGTAAAAATACGTCTGTGCTGTCTTTGTAAATTCGCAAATGGTGTTATTTCTTGTTTGGCGTAATTACAATAGTGTTGGGACATCATATTAACGCAATATGTAACAAAGAAATAAAATGCACGGGTGAAACTTTTGCGATCTTGACATATGTATCAATCACAGGCACATGCTGGCAATTTCCTGAATACATTACGGTTATAGAACTAAGTTTTCCCGGTCCTTTGCTACGTGTTTTACTGTTTTGTAAATCATATTTTCACGATCATACTCGTGACCCGCGAGATAGCAAAAGCTTAATCCCCAAAGGAATACACTACTATATACTGTACCATAGACATGACTGACAGTTCATTTTGGACATGGCGATTGTACACAAATAATCTAACAAAACTCAAATGCAGTAGAAATACAATCAGTGATGACATGGTAATTTCAATCCATTTTATGGTATATGGTCTGTCTAATTTTGATGGAATCGTGATTATGTAGCAAAATATTCGTGCTCCCTTGTGTTTAGATTTTGCTGTCTACATTTGACAACACGAATAATATACTTGTTTTTTTTATTATTTTCAGGGAGTAACCGTTTAGACAGGGATGTAAAGATGATGCTCGGCCGTCCTATGCCTGGACCTGTCAGGATAAGTTTGGCATTCATCATACCAATATTTCTGTCTGTAAGTTATGTACATTTATATATGTATGTTATATCAGTATGAGAATGCGATGCACTGGTAAGGATAAAATGCCTTATGTTAACCTAACAAAAACCTATCCTTTTATAAAGACAAACGTTTCATTATTTTAAAGGTCAGTAACTAGCATTGTCGCTGTTTAAAACAATTCTTGATACCTTATGCACATTTGTCCGTTACTATTTATCTGTTGAATCGTTTGACAGGTTTTATTGACGATCAGTATCGTTACGTACCGTGCCCCGGCCTTTGGCAGTTATGAGTATCCATGGTACGCCTCTATTATTGGCTGGGCCCTGACCTTATCGACTCTCGCACCCGCATTAGGTTACGCGGTGTATACTCTATCAAAGCAGAAAGGAGATCTTCATCAGGTAACGAAATGTACATGTCTCACTACCAGTGGCTGCGTCATTATACATTGGTTCTTTGCGTTTGAAAAAATGCTAATAATATCGAGATTTAAACTGGAATTTTCAAACGTTAATGAAAATATTAACGGAGAACAATTACTTACACACTGCATGACCGACCTTAGCACATCCTTTATCCCTATAACTCCAAATCACTATCAATGGAAGTTTTTTTTTTTTTTTTTGCTTTCATTCATAAATGTGTAAACTATGAAAAAAACACCGATATATAGTAAAATGAGCTTTAACGCATTCAACTTTACATAGAGCGAGTTTTCAACTGTGTAATCGCTTGCAACGCGAGGCGACATATATATGTAGGTATTACGTTGTCGGTGTCGTCGGCTGCGTCGTCCGAACAAGGTTTCCGTGCGATAACTTGAGTTCCCTTGGATTGATTGAATTCAGACTTGGTACACATATTGCATATCAATATAGCTTGGACGAGTTTGTATTTCAGAAGTTTACAAACATTTTTGGTGGAGTAATGCCCCTTTTATTGCCAAATAAGTTCATTGTGATGTAAATGAAAAAAACTTTTTTAGTTTTTAATAAATTCCTTTAAAATTGTGTACGGTAATGCTAGGGCAATAATGTTCAACATATTGTACCGGTTTTTCTGTCGAGTTTCAACTTTCCACGTTTTGGCATATCACACTTTACATTGAAACGCTGTTCATCGTTTTTGCCGTTAATTTTTGCTTGTTTACGCGATAACTCAAGCCAAAATTCTCTCCTCATTACAGAGCTGAGCAGGCGACATTCAGTCATGTCGAATTCTTGTTTTTTACACTGTTCATTCTCGATCATGAAATTTGAAAGAGCTTGCATTCCCTTTATCGTCGCTGTTTGGATCGCTGTGCTAAAATCCATACTTTGTCAGGTTGATATTGTCGATACGTAAGGCAATATTGAGTCATTGTTGTGAAAAAGGAAAAGGAAAACAAAGCTTATAATAAAAATAATAAATAAAAGATCTACCAACTTTATTAACGATGAGTTTACTTTATGTAATGGGAGACGACTCGAACGGCAATGTCTTCTTGAAAATCGGCATTTATAAGTCCAATGATGCACAACCTGTCGTTGATGGTAACAAGAACAGCTGCTATTTTCGTCACATGTACTACTAATAACCAATCAAAGAACTTCTAACATGGCAAAATATAAAATGTAGAATAACGAGACATTAAATGCAATCAGCTTCGAGTGCAATCATGAATTGAATTATAAACACATATACACATATACAGATATCATTGTAGAGAAAAATGCCAAACAAAACTCGGGGAAATATGTTGTTTTAAACAAAAGACAACCTCCATACTAGAATGTATAAAGTATCTTACTTCACAAACGTTCTGTCGTATTAAATATCGTAGATAACCTGATGCTGTGAATATATAATTGATTTAAATTATTTTGGATGAATTTAAAACAGGCAACCGTTCAAAAACATGAACGAAAAATAATTATATATAGCAATGAATGTAAATAGAAAAGTAAAAATGTATATGTCGTAATGATATATAAAACATGTCGAACAATACAGTTGATATATATACATATATGTGTGTGAGTTTTTCAGAGGTTCCAAAATTCCGTTCGGCCAAATGAGGACTGGGTTCCGATAGATGCAAGCTACAGAGAATTTTGGAAAAAAGACAGCTACCATAACTCCCTCACCTGGAAACAACTGTTTTTATACAATCTGAAGGGTGACTCGGGACGTTTTGTTTCTAATTCACTCACGGTGGAAGAGCAACACTCCCTTAAAGCATTTACATAATAGCTGCACTTGCTATCGGTAGCTACAGGCTTGGTTAAACAAATATTAACTGCACCTTTTTACTGAGCTAAGAATTTTAACTGCAAGATATTTTCTTTTATTTATGGTAATATGAGTAATTCTGTGATATCAAAATAACAATATTCAATATTAACTGTTATTCCAGATCCTTCTTATCATTAATCAATATAAAAACTGAATGTCATCCAACGCCAAATGTACCAATTTACCATTATGTCTCTACCTTTTCAGTTTGAATTGACTGGTGCTATACATAGACATTTGGTAATGGAAAAACCATTTCAACAGTTTTGTGATTTTGTTTTGATTTTTTTTTTTATTATTAACTGATAGAAACCAAAATGTGTAATATAACACTGCCCTTTGTTGTACCTGGCGGAACGTTCCAATCTATTTGTTTTGGTTTGGTGTCGTCCATCTTAATGTATTTTGAACTTTTGTTACGACGATTTGTATTCCTCATTTTTCATACCGCATCAATGTCTTCTGCTCTGTATTTTCCAATTGTAACAAATTCAACAAAATTTAGCGAAATTCATCTTTAACGAACATTCTTATATCTTAACATATATATATATATACAGGCTGCTTAAAATTAATACTAATGTAAGGAGCGTCAATTCACCAACTGAAGCGACAGGAGGAAGCAAACAAAGTCACCAATTGACGGCAAACGCCAAGATGGTGATATTTTTGTTCCTATTTCAATCTTATTTTCTATATCACTTTCTAAGATTTGTTTGAAATCCTCTATCTATTAAATAAAGTTACTATTCACAATTGTGTTGATGTTTGTATATACATTCAAACTTTAATTTATGGCCGAAGCTGTGAGAGTGGAGAACACTTTGCTGGTGTATTTGGTATGAAGATGGCATCTAAACATTGATAACAACATGTATGATATAATATTATATAAGCAATTAGATATTAGTAATGGCTGATATCAACAATAAATGTCGAACAATACGCGACTTCTTCTGACAGAGTGTCACATAATAATAATAAATTATAAGTATCCATTAGAATGTTGAAATATCTTTGGCTTCTCACCAAAAAGCTGTATTTGCGTATATTATATCTGCTTAATAAGCTGTAAAATAAGGTTTTCGCGTAATGTCTCATATTTCGTCGAAGTATACGTACATGATAACACAATTAATGATAACTGTCGAAGAGGCTGTAGACATGTTTCACACGGAAAGCAATGTCTAAATATCCCCCTCGACATTCCAGACTAGGTAAATGAAAATGCTAACAAACATCTGTATAAGGTAAATAATCAAAATTCGTTTTTTGCTTTAAAACATACAAATCTTAGAAATTCTTTGGATAATTTCTAATTGCTTAATAAAAGTTGACTGATAGGTAGACCAAATTTCAGCAAGGTACTCAAGTTTGCGTCTGAGTAATTTGTTTCAGAAAGTTCTTAAAAATGAAGTACTTGTAAAATGTTTGCAGAACGTATTTAAAAAAAAACTAACATTTGCATAGATATTGATATAATTTTCTTAATATGAACATAAAAACATAAATCTGGAGTTAATTACACAACCAAGTATTTCACTCGTTGTTCATTTACCAAGATCTCTCCTCCCATATTGTGTTTTTTTCTTCATAGAGAAATGTACATGGCAACTATTTTTCACTTTCACAATCAGCCCGCAGTCTCTACACCATTCGTACACCCTTTCAACATCACTCGGCAATAGGATGCATTTGAGATTTCTCTAACGGAATTAAAAATCTTGCGTTATTTAGCAAACAGTAACGTTTTAGAATATTCTAAAAGACATGGTAGATTGCTGCTAAAAGGTAAAATTAATTTTGAACCTTAAATTAATCCCTAAGTAGATGATTCATCTTTAAAAAATAAACTTTTTAATAATTATATATACAACGGTCAGTAGTGTTGACATTTGGTGCTACAGATAATGCTACCAAACTGTGTATAGGCAGGTGGTCCGAGTCCAGGACAGGGTCGATCACCTCTACCAGGACTGTGACTACTGTACTGAGGACCCAGTCCAGAACTCTGTCACACCTGGTTAGCGACGAATTGTACAGGCGAACTCTATCACACCTGGTTAGCTACGAATTGTACTCTCTCTCTCTCTCTCTCTCTCTCTCTCTCTCTCTCTCCCTCTCTCTCTCTCTCTCTCTCTCTCTCTCTCTCTCTCTCTCTCTCATGGTGTAAGAGAGGTTATCGTGAAGTTTTACCAGGGTGTACATTGTGATTGCAGGACCAAATCACTAGTGTGTGCAGGGAAGAAAAGAAATAACTTGCTAACAGACAACGTATAGTTACCAAGTGATTTCAAGGTCAGCGGTGGAGAGGCCACTGTGTCAAAAATTCTGATGGAGAAAGTTAAGGACTGTCTCGGTGACTCCGTGTTGGAAATGACCCTGAGGAACCTGTCGACCCAAAAGGTAGAATCTGTGAACAGACAGCTGAAGCAGTCTCTCCCATCACGTGTGAATTTTACTCGTAACTTTTCAGGGAGAGCTCATAGCGGTGTATCCTGTGAACCATGGACCGGGGACTGCTATTAAAGAACTGTGTAGTGGGGTTGGGTCTCCAATTACTGCTGGGAGCTCTGTGTCCAAGGACCTAGATAAAGAACAAAAAAGACATAACTGTGGTGTAAAACTGTAAAGTTGATGAAGAAATGTATGTGAAAGACAGAGTTATGATTGTGAAAATGAAATGAAACATTAAAATATTGAGAACTTAAAAAAGACAGACAGACAGACAGACAGACTCTTTCAGCAATCTATAATGTACCATCAGTGACAGTCGGAGCACTCTCTTTGTTGTTCTGTGTCCATTTGGCCATCTAACCACAATACGCCCATATCCTCCCTGGTCTTTGGCCCCCCTCCACACTCTATATGGGTGTATATTTCCATCATAGTATCCTCCTGTAGCTAATTTTCCCTCTAAACTCCTATCAAAACACATCCATGATTAGATTCACAACCTGAAATATCCTGGTGGGTCCCATCTTCTGGTTTCCAGGGACGCTTGAATGGTGTAAAACGTCATATCCTGCATCTTTCTATAGGGATCGTAGAACCAAATGATTTTCCACAGACGATAGTGTTAACATTTACCACTGTCCTGGTTAAATGGGGTTATCCACACTGGTTTACCTGCCCTCATTTTGAAGAATATCATCTCACACAACTGTAAATAAGATATGTAAAAATTCTGCCTATTTGAACCTTTTCTAAATGGGGGCCCCATTTTTTATCGAATTCGGCACCAAAAATTGACCAAAATTGACAACAAATTACACACTTAATAAACTCCCCAAAACAAAAGCAGACTTGATTTTTTTTTTTTATTTTTGTTTTTATACATTTTACATCTATATATATTGCTCAACCAACACATACATTTTTTGAAACTTCTGCCACCTAAATATCCAACCAGGCCCCGAGGCATTCACCTTCCTATTAAATCTTCTGCCCAAAAGGGAAAAACCCGCAATCTATTTTTGATTTGGTTCCGTGGTCCCTTTAGGGTGCGTGTGTGTGTGAGATATATGTCATGGTGTACTGTATTGTTATTACTTTACACTTGTTGTGTTGAATAAAATTTATTGAATTTTATATCTATGAGAGTCTGTGTTCATTTACCATACTTCATGTTCATCAAATTATAAGACCCCAAAGGGCCCAATATCAACGAACCTGGTAAGGGTTTCTTGGATAGAAACCGCTCCTTTTACATTGGTGCCGTACTGACCAGGATCTTGGCAACCGATTTTGGGCATTTTTGAAATGTCTGTGAAAAATATTTGTAGAATTTGAAGTTGAAGTTATGGCGAATGGACGTGATTAAGGTGTGTTTACTAGGAGTAAAGGGTCGTTATATACTTGGCCTGCCCCCTGTACAAGTATAACAACAAGTTTTACTACTCCTCCCTCTATTAGCAGCTCTGCTACATATAGGACTCCGGGGGACATTTGTACTAGTACTGCATCCACTGGTTACAGGAATGTGACAAGGGATAAGGTTTAGCTCGATCGTTATAGAGATAGTCGGACCCATGATTCTAGAACAGGGGCTAGACCAAAATCTGTTGTATTTGGATGAGATTCAGTATACCCTCCTGAACCACCCGTAGGTAGTTATAATGAAATCGGGACTAAATCAAGTCATCAGCATTCAGATAAAACTTATTTGTACTTGACACCCCCCGGTCATAATACGGAGTTGTTAGACATGCACAGTCAGGGAGGTCACATGAATATACAGGAACCAGTGAAATAATCGAGACAAATCTTACATCCCCACAATATTTTTGCACCCCAATAAGTTCCCGGAAGCCACATGAGGGCTGTGAAACAGAGGTTCCCTCATACAGTAGGGAATATTGTGAACCCCCTAAGTCTCACAGTGCAGTAAAAGTACATAGGGAACAAAAAAACAAAATTATGATGGTTCAAGTGATTTGAAAGATTACATCTTGCATTTTGAGCAGGAAGCTCAGTGGAATCAGTGGGGGAACTATGAGAAAGCACATCAATTAGCCATGAGTTTACGGGGACCAGCTCAGAAAGTTCTTGGGACTTTGACCCTTGCATAGATTGGCGACTTTGGGAAAATAAGGGATGTTTTGTCAGCGCAATTCAACCCCCCAGGAAGGGAGACAGATTACAGATTCCAACTTAAACACAGGTCGCGAAATCCAAATGTAAGTCTTGTTAGCTATGGTCGAGAACTTAGGCGGTTGGCTGGTTTAGCGTTTCCTTGAGTGTCCACTGAATCATCAGAAGTTCATGTTGTAGACCAGTTTATTCATGGGCTTAACAGTATGGAAATAAACCGTCACGTACAGTTCTATCATCCAGCTTCCCTGGAGTCTGGGATTACCCTTGCAATATAATATGAAGCTTTTGATAGGAAGTTGCGTATTTCTGAAAGGTAACCAAAAGCCTTTGTTGATGAGGTAGAACAAGGTCAGGTGCAAGTTGTCCATGAAATTAGCTCTACAAATGAAAACCAAAGCAAAGATTTAGCTACTTTATTAACAGAGGGGTTGGAAAAACTGGTAAAGCAATTAACTCGTGCTGTGAGAGGGAAAGGACAAAAGTCAGGACGAGTTACATACAGATGTTAAGGTAAAGGCCACGGTTAAAGTAACATCCAAGGCCAAGGTCAAAGTTACAGTCAAGGTCAAAGTCATTATCAGGGGTATGAGAGAAGGTGTTATCGCTGCAACTAGCCAGGACATTTTATAGCAGATTTTACACAGTGTCATAATGACCCAAAAATCAAGGTTCGGTCAAACGTGAGCCTGAAAGTTTGGCCAGTGTCTCAGATCTAGGTGAACAGGTATCATCTGGTGAAAAATCAGAAGGGCTTACTGAGGTTAGCTTGAATGTTATTGACAAAGGTTGTCTCTTTGTAGATGGTACAGTGTGTGAAAGGTTCAAGGTATCTTGTAGATTCTGGATCAGTTGTAACAAAAGTTACTCAGAAAATGTATAATGCTAGGCCAGAGGGTAATAGGCCAGAATTAACAAGCAGTGGTATAATGCTTTACTTTGCCTCGGGTGACAAGTTAGTGGTGGCTGGTAAAGCCAACTTTAGATTTAAAGTGGGCAAATTAGTGTACGAACAGGAGGTAATAGTGTCTATGTTGGACCAATTATCAGGGATTCTAGGTGTAGATTTCCTGGGTAAATATGGAGGAGAAATCCATTTTAGGGACAGGACTGCTTAACGCTCAGGAAATTAGGAGTGGGACGACTAGTTCGCCCGTTGTCAGTATAATGTGACCGGGTGGGGCGTCCTGCTAGGTGTCTTCGGCAGTATATTTCAGTGGGGTAGCACTATAAAGTCGGCATCAGTTCCGCGCTATCACAAGGAGACAAACACTAACATATCGCAGCCTCCCAAAAAACACACACATACACTACACGCATGCATCTTGCACACATGGGAGGCCGTCCTTAAATGACCTTTAGCTGTTAATAGGACGTTAAACAAAATCAAACAAACAAACAAATCTTAGGTTAGAGGGTCAGTGTGTCAACCTAGTTACAGAAGGGTGCAAAGGATGTGCCTGAATACGGGTGTGTGAGACTGTCTCCGTATCAGCTAACTCTGAGTGTCATTTTAAGGGTTATGTAGACGGGTCTGTAAACTAGGCATAAGGTATAGCAGAACCTTATACTTATGTAGCTAATCAGGGATTTATGATGGCTAAGGTGTTAGCAGACATCACCAGTAAAGAGATCAATCTCCTGTTTTTAATCGTAGTCCTACAAAAGTCAAGTTGCAAAAATGACAATAGAAATCCAGGGGAGATAAATCCTCAGCAATCTAGAGTAGACAGTATGATAAAGTCTCCACCCAGATACTGTTCACGAAAGTAAAAACACAGAAAGATAGGTATTGTTCCATTAAAAGTTTATTCTGTGTTGTTCTGTGTACAAATGTGATCAGTGTGATCCATATTCTGATATAACAAGTGTGTACTTTCGTTTAAGAATGTTTTTCTTGTGTTGCTTGCACTGGTACAGCTTCAATTCCTTTATAATTTGGATATATTTTGATCTGCAGTTATAGGAACTGGGTACTAAGTGTAATATGCCATTATGTGGTGATTCTGTGTAGATTGTTTGTGTAGATGGAGCTTGAGATAATTGAAGTGTTTATTTTGTTGTCCTATTTTCCTTATATTTTTATTGTATTGTTATTATGTAATACTGGGGATTGTTTTTCTTATAGTTGTGCTTTTGGTAGAGATATCAGTCATGTAGATGGTGTTTAAAGTCGGCATAAACCGTGGCTGACCATGCTTGTGGGACATGGTGAAGAAGTTGCTGCAGGAAAGCAGTTTGCTGGGCACTGTAGATTATGTTCTTGAAGCTATTAGGCATGGACTAGGTCTGTGCTAGTTTCCGAGATTATGATATACCATTTTTGTATTGCTGTTGTTGTATGTGCCAAGTAATGCTAAGTATGTGTGTTAATGTAAAATGTCTTTCAATTTTGTGAATTTATAATGTAATTACAGATGATGATATCTTCATGAATTATCTCATGATGAATTTAGTGTGAAACTTATTCACGAATATATTTAGTAATAAATCCAGTCCAAATTAAATTGTCATGTTTTTATATTGAATCAATTCATGAATATATTTAGTAATTAATTCTTCCCATAATATATTTTTATGAAATGGATCTATATTTTTGTAAGTTAATTTAAAAAAAAAAAAGTACCAGAGAAATAGTTGAATTGATTTTGTAAATGTGGTAAGATGTCTATAATGTAACTGTTGGATTGTTATAAACTGTGCAAATTTTGTGTATTATTATTGTGTTGGAATGCCACATTGAATTAGTGGCATTTTGGGTTTATTTTTGCTATGGAATATTACTCCTGTGCAGCTGAGTGATGTAAGAATGTGTGGACATTATTTTTGATACTAATAGTTTATGTAGTGAATCAGTATATGTTTTGTTGTATATAATTGTCTACCTCAGGTAAATGACATTATTCGTGAAGTCCAATATTTGAGTTTTGCATTATAATCTTTAAACGAGCAAGTTTTCAAATTTTGTAAAATTATTGCCAAATGTTTGAACATTTGTCTTAAGGGGGGAGGAATATAAAAGTGGAGATAATTCGTATACTTAACATTCGATATTTACAATTGACAGCTCACCAGGTTTCGTTGTCCATCTTGTTGTTTTCACATGAGGAACTTGGTTACGTAATCGGAAGTGTTCCGAGTAACTTTAGCGGGAATTGTGCACGTGCAGTTTGCCGTATTCGGTCGATATAACTCGGTGGTTTTGTATAGTTCATCAGTCGGAGGTAAAGTCCTTGTGAGACTGCCTGACCCTCTCTCTCTTTCTTTCTAGGACTCGTTGGGTAATAACGTAGGACCAGCTGTAACGTTTAGCGTTAGGGTTAGGAAGTAGTCTATAAACATGTAGTTAGAATTCCAATATAAATCCGTCGTCTATGCTTATAGCCAGCAGTGTAGGAGTATGCCTCGCAGCCACTAGTTTAACTGAAAGGCGTTGTATAGGGTGCGTGCCTGGGTGAGATATGATATCGTGTACTGTACTATTATTACTTTACACTTGTTGTATTGAATACAATTTATTGAATTTTATATCTTTGCGCCTGTGTTCATTTGCCAATATTAACGAACCTGGGTTAGGTTTCTTGGATAGAAACCGCTCCTTTTACAGAAATAAAACCTGTGTTTCAAACATTAAATTTACCAACTATACATCTCATATTTCCATAATAAATCATTGTAGGGCTAGGGTAGACTTCACAATCTCACTTAGTAAAAATTTCAGATAGATCAAAGTTTTCTTTTAACATAAAACATAAATGATAAGAAAATCTTCCGGCTGGCCTCCATGGGGAAAATATGATTAGCAAATAGTTTGTCCAAAATTTAACTTTCTTCAATTATGTAGGTTGGAAACGAAATGATCTATATCTTGGAAGGAACAACGTGTACAGTAGCAATTGTCAGCTTCTATCAACGGTTGTATCTTACATAGTAAGGAAACAAAAACAACAGCAAAAGTGTACACACCTTCCACGGAGGCCATTTTGAATATTGATTCATAATTAATGGAGCCACAAAAGGATCGCTAGAATGTGTCATGTCACGTTTCCTACAAATCCTTGTTGAACTGCAATAACTAACAACTTAAGTAACTTCTTACTATTAAAATCACAAAACAAATGTTGAAATAGTAATAAGCAGTTGGAACTAAATCGAAAAGCAAAACTCAGTTAATTTGAATTTCAAATATTGTATTGCTTTAAATAAAAGAATGTAATTGTGCAAGCAATTTACAATATCATTCATTTACCTCATACTACAATCGTATAATTACAATCATATAACTTATTTTATAATGCAGTATGAATAATGACAATCTGTGGATCATGATAATGTTGTCTAACATTCCATCATCTCAGTTTGCTTCTCCGTGATGTTTAAATCCCTACATTCTTCATCACTTTTACCGGTGAGGTTAAACAAAAAGAGCTCTCGGAAGGATAAACGTTCGCCCTGCGGTATGAAGGGTACGTTGAGGTCAGGGCAGGCTGGACCCCAGTGTACTGTTGGCTTGGTACATAGTGCGAGACGCTATAAAGGACAAAAAAGGACATAGATGATGTTTGTTTAGTTGATAAAATATTATTAAAAATATTTCGTACAGAGCTTTAAACGAAATTGTGTTAAACTGTGCCATATCAAACGGTGAAAGCCCAATAAAACAATAAAACCACTTAAAAAGGAATTGCATACAAGATAATTCTAGACAAATTACCAGGGTTAATTGACTCTTTTAAATAATGGAATTCATAAAACGTATCATTATGCCTGCCTGTTATGAAACCAAAAAGCAGGGTTTTATTCCTAATCAGCCCTTGTAAATATAATGTACTGACTTTAAAATGCAGATAAATTGCATACTTTATAACCCATTTTAATTAGTTTAACTGAAAATTATATAAAATGTACTATGCCAGCACTAGAACTAAAGAAAGAAATCAATAAATAAATTTAAAAAAAGTATATTTATATTTTACGTAAATATTTTGCATTTATTTTAGAATGATATCATCACTGACTGAAATACATATTACCTTTTTCATGGGACCGTCGGTTTTCAGGAGTGTTCTCCCTGCATACAGAAATATTGGTACAACTGATATCATGGAAAAGCACCAGCCGATAGCTGTGGCGTAGCCTGGATATGTGTAGGTCCCTAGGGTAGGCGGGCGGTAGGTGTACATGCTCACCACAAGTAGGAACTGACGAAAGAAACACCGTTACAAATGCAGCACATTACATACATGGTCTGTCTGTTCACGCAGACTTCTTGTATCAACGACATATTAATAAGAAAGCCACCGATAAATCAGTAACTAAAAACATTTATTATTCATTAGGTGATATTTTATAATATCATACGTTCCTATTAATGACATTAATGAATAAATAAATAATCCAAAAATGGATGGAATACATACAACTATAACATAATCTAATTGATTTTTGGTATTTCAGTAAATAACAGGCGTACATGTATGTATTATATCTGTCTTGTGTATGTGTTATGTTGATAAGTATGTTTATTGGTTTATGTGTATGTGTAGACCCAAATGACATGGTAAATAGATAATTATTTATTGTAATAGAAAGGATGGATGTATCCATATATTAATGTCTTAATATAAAGAATGTTTGCAATATCGATATGCTGTCAGGCATGCGAGGATGTGTGTGTATGCATGGGTACGAGTGTATGTGTGTACAATTATGTGTGGTATATATGTATGACTCAAGTAATATATTCGTCATTTCGAGTGTGTGTATGATGTATTTATGAATACATAATTTGTAGTTAAATTTCACATAATTGTACACTGTTTATGTTTTTGTGTTTATGTATATAGGTCTGAATTGCTAGGTACATTAGTATTTGTACTCTTTTTTATTTCCCCAGACATTCCTTCTTAAACTAATCCAAATTATAAATGAAAAACAACATCATTCAAAGTACATGAATTCGGTTTTATCTTTTAATTTTTGGCATGCAAATGAATTTATAAATATAAAAATACGTTCAATATTTGAATATATAAAGAAGGAATGGTTGATGTAATTTAATATATCAATTTAATCAAAATAAATATTATCGTTATTGTAATGAATGAAATATACGTATGAAAGAATGAATGATTTTGAATTTGAGTATGAAAGAATGAATGAAAAAGAAAGAGAGAATGAAGACTTAGAGAAAGAGGCCTTTTGCATATTATGTAAGAGGAATGATTCCGGGGCACCCTAACCCTGGCATCCCTCCCAAAGATGCTGGGGGAATAAAACAATTTGAACCTAAAAAGAAATTAAAAAAATCTAATTGCAATTTAGTGCTTTATGAAATTTTACCTATACATTTATCAATAACAACTGTTCTCCGAAGCTTTGTAAGGTACATGTAACATATATGTACGTTAGTTATATTTAAGTTTTGGGAACAGCAGAATGCTTCAACAACGTATACCATTAGAAATATTGGCATAATGAAGGCGCAGCTAATCCTGATCAGTGCTGGTAGATGTCTGCCGAGCATAAGATGAAGGTCTCTGTCAATCCTGTTTCCACCTACAATATAAAACGTTGTTGGTACATTATAATCTACCAGAATCATAAACATGCTCTTCTGCAATTGATATTTCTTTTGTATAGAATGCATGCAAGCATATGGCATCAAAATGCCTTGCCTACATTGCATGCAAATGCGTAACAATCCTTACGAAGATATTAATTGTTTTGCATTCACCAATCGTTATCTATCTATGTCAGCGACTCGGCTTTAAGGAATTTTTCCTTAGCTCTTTAGTTAAAGATCAAGAAAAGTAAAGCAGAGGCATTGATTTTTTTACCACTGTTACATTCCAATTGTATGTTAGTAGATCCCCTTTTAGTTACATACCATATATCCAAAAAAATACTATGGTTTCCCCGATACAAATCAACATTATACTCCACGTCGCCAAGTACCAATCCACCAGTTGAAACATGTATACTCCGGCCTACAAAAAATAACTTTCTATTCTGAAGAGTGGTTTATGTATACTCCGGCCTACACAAAAGAACTTTCTATTCTGAATAGTGGTTTATGTATACAGTATCCTGGTCTACATAGAACAAATGCCTATTTTATCTTTTACGTTTCATGTACAATCCGGTCTTCAAAGACTATTAGTATACCTCATCTTTATAACAGCGTGTCTGATTGGATGATACTGGCCACATGCGGGGCAATGAAACACCATGTCGCTTTCACAAGCTCAAGTTTCCCGATCATATTTCCCTTAATGGGAGACTCTCTAGAAAACTCGCTAACAAGCTTGATTGTTTAACGGCCCATCGACGGCGGTGGTCATTTAGTGCAATGGTGATTTTTTTTTTTTTTTTTTTTTTTTAAACAAACATGTGAGTAGCGAAGATAAAATCAGATACAAATGTTCATTTTTAAAAGCATTCGCATTGTATGTGAAGACAATTAAAATAAAAAGGGGGTTAAAATAATAAAAGAGATAACGAATAGATGATATGGACTATGTGATATATATAACGTCGAAGAGGGTATGGTATGATGGGTTAAAAGACGCTAAAAAGCAATCACATCCTAATTCCGAATAACGGAAGCAGACCACAACAATGGCGCGTCAACCTGACCATAACAACTATTAGATTATTGTTTATAATTGAATGATTGATTGCTTGTTTGGCAAAATAAAAGATGTAATGCCCTTACTGTACGAAAACACGATTCTTTATTATGAAAAGGTCTTTTTACACAACCAATAACAGTTTCTTTGTGACGTTTTGATGACTAGCACAGAGTGTACACTGCCACCTTCATCAGACAAATGACCAGTGAAGTGAATGCACACAAAGGTGTACTTGATGTCGATACGGCTACGCTGTAAGCGTATGCATAATGCATTTGATATATGTACCGAAATTACTCGATTCAGCTACGCTTTGTTTAATACTAAGTCATATATGTGCGATAGTCTATGAGCCCTCTCATCACGATCCTTTAGTTCTCATCTATTAATCAAGTTACATTCGAGCTTCGCCGTCGTAACACATGATTAACCTTGGAGCAACACATAATAGTGTTTCTTTACATTAAGCGCAATACATGAATCAAGTTATATGCTAAGGTGCTACATATAAAGTCCAGCATACAGATACCAAAGTTATACCCTGCATAAGGTTACTATATATTTGCATCATTTTCACTTTCCATACTTCAGTTTCAAATAACAAATAATTCAGATGGTAACAAAAATATATTAAAAGACTAAATGTGCCCCTTTGTAAAATCTGCTGGGCCTATTTTATTGTCGTCACTAGGACTCAAATGATAACCAATCAAATACAATCATTTTCACAACAGGCTCAACATATGTGTTTAAAATGGCACATACATCTTGTATGAAAACAAACGTCAGTAGGAGAGATAAGAACAATCGAAGGCTGATATGATTCATTACGACAACAGACTAGTTTCTTCTGGAAATTAAAGAATGCAACTATTAAATATACCCTCGTAGTGAAGGGAATGCTGAGTGCAAGGGCCAGAATGCTGAATCCTCCGAGCAGCCATGGTCGTTTGTTGTGCAGTATCCGTGGAAAGTTTTCCTCGAATATCTGCATGACCGGTTCAGTTTCAACTGCCTGCAACAGATGCATAATTTGATGCTTAAATTGTAATTTAACCATCATCAACTTCGTGTGAATATATAAGGAAATGTTCAAGGATATGTCATTGACTTTGATTAATATATTCAATCTACATGTTTCAAACTATTACTTTAACTACATTCAATACTTATGAGTTGATTTTTGATCAACCATCGCGATTTTTGACATCTGAATTAGACATATTTTGACTTCGAATGACGTGCATATTTATTCGAGGCAAATTAAAATTTGCTATGCAATAAAAAATACTTATTGAAAGAATATTTGATATGACGATAAATATATACACATTTGTATTCATGGTCACAACTTGTATAGCTTTCCATAACATCTTCTTTTAGATTTTATATACACATGGATATTTTCAAAGACTCACCATTGCATCAATGCCAGGAAGAAGAAGTGAGATAAAGAACAAGACACACCAGACTTGAGGCACGGGGAAATAACTCAGCGCCTTTGGGTAAGCAATGAAACCGATCGAAAATCCACCTGTAATATTAAACATGTTTAAATTAATATTAATTGTCCTCTTATACATGTATGTCATCAATGCATTTTGCGAGATCACCAACCAAGACTTAGAATTTTTCGAAAAGATATTAAATACAAAAAATAGGTAACATTACATATTAAATTTAATGTAGAAGGCATGAATATCACATCATGCCCAGTTTGAGGAGTATGTTTTGTAATATCACGACAATGTGGTAGCAAACTATATATAAAGGATATTTCTAAACATTTTTTCAGGTTAATAAGTATGGATTATGAGAAGTTCTTTTTACACAACCAACAACATTTTTCTATGTGACGTTTCGATGACTAGTACGGTATGTACACTGTCACCTTCATCAGACAAATGACCATTGAAGCGTATGCACACAAAGGTGTAAAATGTGTACGAGTTGTCCATACAATTGATGACGATTTCGGCTACGCTGGAAACGTATGTACAATAGTTGTTATATATGTACCGAAATGACTTAATTCAGCAACGCTTTGTTAACACTTGATCATAGATGTGCGAGAGTCTTAAAGCCCCCTCGTCTCGATACATATATAACAACTATTGTACATACGTTTCCAGCGTAGCCGAAATCGATTTTATGGACAACTCGTACACATTTTACACCTTTGTACGCATACGCTTCATTGGTCATTTGTCTTATGAAGGTGACAATCAAAAGTCATGGTGGCTATTTGAATAATTAGATCATAATCTATGTTTTAGCCAATCAGAAACAGCAGATGGTTACCTTCTTGGATCTCGGTATCCGGACAACCATGGCAATATTAAGGTACGATATCCATTAAATACTTGCTATCAAAAGTTGGTGTTTATTGTGATAGATACTGACCGGAAGTAATAGCACTGGTGATGGGTACGTCGGCTTCCCTCGCCATGACGCCTAGCACGGAGAAGACGACCAGACCATTGAGTAGGCCGTACAGTAAAGTTGCAATCGTTGTTGCCACAGCTGCCCTGTTGGAACAGAAAGAAATACATCTTCAATGGATTGTTACTATCAATACAGGAAAAGTATATTCTTAAAATGAATTATGAATAGTATACACCACAGTATTATTTATTTCAAAGTATGTTTTAATTTCGACTCAAATTTGATTTTGTTGATTTTCATTTTTTTATTTTTTATTTGGCTAGGTTTTAATACATGGGCTAAATTGAAATGTAAGGATTGATTATAGCGTTAGACGAAGGTGGTGAATAACGTCTGTCTTGTGCCAAATTTAACATAGGAGGCATCAAATCTTATAACTTTTGTATCGAGTCCAACTCCATTCATCACCACATGAAATAAGCTCTAATAAACGTGTATATGCTGTCTCCAATAATAGGATAAATACCTCAAGCAATTGGTTTGGAAATGATTGTGACAACCCATCATCATAAGTCCTCCCCAGCCCGGCCCGAGGGTGTAAAACGTCATAAAAGCTGCCTCTATCCATACCTGTGATAAGGCGAGTATTTACAACAGGAAAACAATTTCATTTACCTCAGTCAATATGATTTAGCTTAACAACAAGTTGGAAATCGATCAATAAAGCCTTACCTTTTACTAAGATTGTTTATGACTTTCGCATATGAAATTGTTCAATTGAATGCTTTGATTGATTAATTATTCCACATCGAAGATATAACAACATAAGGGCATAAATAATGTTTGTTTAATATAATGAGTATTTATGTGACGTCCTACCTGGATGTTTGCAAGTTTTGAGAAATCGGGAATGATAAAATACAGCATGCCATCTACTGCACCCGGGAGGACCAGGGCCCGAACCCAGATTACAACGACCAGAATGACGGGCAGTAGGGCTGTAACGTACATCATCTACAACAGGTCTGACACGTTTACTGTCAAGAACAGTCGCCATACATACGTCAATGTGTACTAATATATATATATTTTGTAACAGGTTTATGTCCGGTTTATAAATATAACAGAACTACCTCAGCGTTGATATCGTTTATGTAAAATGTTAATAAAATTTACTTATTGTACTTAAATATAACATTAATGTACACTTGGATTAAATAATTCATCGTAGATAGAAAATATATTGTTTTAATCCAGTACGGGCAGAATTTATACGAACGAGGATAACACTATGATTTAAACTTGAAAAAATATCAAGAGAAGTATGCAAAACCCTCAAACATTATATAACTTATATACATTATCGTCATATTTTGGATTTTTGTTCTACGACCATTCGTACGTAAAATGACAAAATATGACCTGTGACATATTGTTTTACACAAATATTATACAATAAACAAAATCTGTAGGTGGCACTTATATCTTCTGCAAGTTCACAGAGAAGTTAAAGGCTAAATATTTTTTACTGCATTATTTTATGAGACATTTTGAATGGTTTACGCGATATCTCCTTCCCTCTTTCGCAAATTAATGATTATAATTTGAGTCCTTTTAATGGCGACAACGAAATGGCAAAACTATAAAAGCATTTATCTTGTCTTACTTACTTCGATTGCGTACTCTTAAATCTGTTGTTACACTGCTGTATTAAAGAAAGGTCACGTATATAATGCCTAAGTGTCGTGATCAGTTTACCTTCCCCAAAGACTGGACACTTTTCACACACGCGAGAAATACAGCCAGTCGGACCAGGACGTAGTAAAATATGTACGTCCCGTTTACGTCCCCTATGTCTTCTATTCCACTAGATCGGCGCAAGACTTTGTGCCTAGCAATAAAAACAAAATTCTACTGAATAATTCGATATTTGAAGTTAAAGTGCTATATTAAATATGAATATGAACTAGCCATCTTTTTTAGTTCATAGAAAACGTTAGGACAATGGAATCCGTATCATGGGGGTACTCAAAATGGAACATTTTTTAAGGAAAAAAATATTGATATTTCCTTTCAAGGTAATGGAAAACCCTAGTGAAAAAAATATGTATTTAACTTTCATTTTACATTGTTTCTTTGGTATCACCAGCACGTGATTGTATTTGTAGCGCTCATTCTGTAGAGAAAGGATACAAAAATGGAACACCACATCATGTGACAGCATTTGAAGTATTTTTCTTGATTTCTTAACAAAATAACAATTTCTTATTCATTTTAGTGATTTTTTCGTAAAATATTCATTAGAATGAAAAACAAAATATATAGTAATGTAAACGATATTTTCGGAAACAATTTTCATTTAATTTAGTTTAAAAGTTTCAACACTGAAGGGAAGTTTATGTAAAATGAAATTTCTTTCATAACAATATCACAAGATCTGCCATAATAACATAGTTTGACACTCCTGATGGTTAATTACTGCGGAGATTTTGACAACAGCAACAAATATTTCTTGCAATTCCTAATTGAAAACTACAACATCCTTTAAGGTATGCTTTAGTGGCATTTATTGGCGCACTTCCAACTTGTTGAGAAGGCTTCATCTTGTTTCATTATAACTTTCTACATTAGCATGACTTCAAGTCGAGCTCAGCAAAATCACCTAACGTCCCCTAAACTATTTTAGGATGCAAGAGTAGGCAGTTATTCTTAATAAAAAAAAGAACCATTCCAACATATCTCACTAATCGGAGGAAGGTTTTTTTTTCACTTTTAAACAAACTTCTATCATTGCTACATTTCCTATTTTTATTATTTGGTGTCCTGTGTGCATATCACCTGTTTTTGTTTAAATCAACTGTAGATAAAAATAAACGACTCATAAGATTAACTTTTCCAACGCGTAGGCTGCAGGATACTTCTAGTGACCCTATTGTAACTTTCGGTATATCTCATAATTATGAACATTCTATAAATTATTATCTAGAGAGTAACCGTATAAACACAGAGGCAATCTATATTTAGTAGCAATGAACTACCATCGACATATTGTATCGGTGCCTACTGCTATTAAAATATGTAGAAACTCTAAAATGTGTAGATGTCACAGAAAAACAGTATTTGTCAACAGATGCATTGCAGAGCAAAGCTTGACGAACAGGATAGTGTCCGTTAATCTCATACTTTGTACAAAAAGAAAGTACTTAAAAATAGTTATTGATGACATGAATTTTATCAAGAATTATTCCAGCATCAAAATGAAAGTAATATGTGTGGAACAAATAAACACGTTTTCCCTCTGACTATGGGTGAATATAACATGAACGAATGACATAGGTACAAGTGTACTCAATGACTTACTTTGTAGAGAACTGTCTGATTATTTTGATTATTATCCTTGATACAGACAGCGTTATGTAGACACATAATGTTTCCACAAATGACTTGCTAGCTTTTGCTTATCTTATTTGCTGTCAGATGCTTTTGCTGTCTTCGATTTCTGACCCGTAAATATATACCAATTATGAGATGTATACATATTTTAAAACATAAATAAGAAATGTACTCACATCCAGAATTCCTCTATGGACGACACGGATTGTGGCACTCCTGATGTGACCTGTAACCAGTGGTATATAATATAAGTGTGACTTCATCTACTTTAATGGCAATGCTATTATACAATGTATGATGACTGACAAACCATGACTTAGTTTAAGCTGACTATTCGCACTTGTTAAATCACAATGCATACGCAATCATTTCGCGTACATAACAACAAAATATAACGTTATGTTGTTAAAATATACATCTATAAATATATTTCCAGTTAGACATACTTAGGACAAAATTATTTAATGTGAAGTATAACGAGTATCGCTCTGATGTTGCTAAGTAGCCAACTTCTCTTAATGATTATTAATTAATTTGTGTATTTATCTATTGTAATTATAGATAGAGTAAGAACAGTTATTTCCGATATGAAAAAATACATTTTATATCTTAAAAAAGCATAAAAGGAATATACCGTTACTGTCATTTCTGTGAATAGGAGAACTGTCTCAACGAATGCATTGATAATAAATAGAGGAGCTAAAACTTGTTCCTTTTAAATACGAATCTTATAAAACGAGTACAAACGAGTATCATACGTAAAAATGATATCGATACCAGTTTGAGAGTCGTTTTTTTTATTTACGATATTCAATATAACAATATTGCCTTTGACTTGTGACTTAACTGAACTCTGCTTTGTGTCGTCAAATTAGCAGATATTAAATGTAACATAACAAAATAATGTATGACAGTGTTATTACGCAGTGAAACAAACATGCCAGTATCAATTGATTGTTTCTACCAAGTAAGCTTACGTTGTATACTAGAGAACGGTCAGTGGTTGTATTGTATGTTGAACTATTAAGATAGGAGACACTACGATGAAATCCTGTTCTGCACTTGTCTGTATTCCAGCTGTTGTTGCAGCTTGTCCAGGGAAGCTCCGACTTAAAGGAATTGACCAGGTACTCAATAATCCAGGACCTCAATGTCGTGTCGTACACCAGACTGACCATATTAATGACCAGCACAGCCAAACCAAACCCTTAGCAATACAAATACGTTATAACAGCAGAGTACGTGAGAGTAACCACAAAGACAATATAAGTCTATACTATAACTGATTAAATGGGTTTAGATGTGCTGCTTTTCTTGTATAATGATAAAGCGAATTGAATGTGAAATTAACGCAAAAAGGGGACACTTCTCATACGATAAATAGTTTTTTTCTTCCGGTCTTGGTTTAAATTGCCCGATGCTACAAAACCTACTAAAACGGATACACATACTGATGAAAATATTAGATTCGAGTTATTTCTTTATATAAATTAAATGTTATTCATCTGTAGATCTTCATACACGTACATGTACAATATTCGTGTGATACGCTGTATATAAGCAGTATACTTCAGTTTTAAAAAGTTAATTTTGAGGCAATCTAGCGAGCTGCGCTTCCTCTGAAATGTAATGGGACAGTATGTACTGGTCCCCTTAATAGTTAATGCTCTGTATGTCTCAGTGTATATGAATTATGTTTTCATTTCATTATACGATGTCCTTCTAAAACACTTACCTCTAAACAAGGGACAGATGTCCCAAATCCTCCAAGGTCCCTTACCAGAGTACTGAGACATGGCTATCTCTATGAAATACAACGGAGCCCCACACAGCAGCATCAATAGAGCATATGCAATGAGGAATGCCCCTGTGGACAAGAAGGCCAAGTTATCTACACCTGAACTGAAACAGTTCTCTTGAAAAACAACGTGTAAGATTATTAGCTATGCTTCTACATAAACAAACTAGTACCAATTTCGGATTGGTTGTATTATGGTTTCAAAAATAATTGCATATTTGGTTTTGAATTTGGCTTTTCGCACCTACGATCGTCAACGGACCATATGCGATTCATCCTTCAATTCATCTTTTATAAGAGATAGACTTGTGTTTAATCATTTAATAATTCTGAACGCTATTCAATATTGGTAATTGGTGTTTTATTCCTATGATTTTCCTGTTTTGTTGTTGTCCATAACCTTTTTTCTTCTTCTACAAGTTATGTTACCCTACGCATATTTCAGATAGCATAGGCTTTTCTGAAATGAAAAGGTACAATGAATGACTTTCAAAGTTATTAAATAGTTTTGCTCCAATGTTAAACTCAAAGTGTACACTTGTATGTTTTTGATAGGAGGGCGTGATGTTACGTTTTTGGCTTTATAGTGACATCAGTTTAGATAAGGCAGTGAAAAGTAATGTAAGATTGAAAGATTAAATATTAGCACTGTGTGTTGTTGTCAGAGAAATTTCATTCAGAGAATAGCATTGTTGATGGTCAAGAAGGGGACGTTGCCACGTCCTACATGCACAACGATGCCAAGAAATACGCTCATGCTTTCTCCTCGACACATTATACATTGACTTATCGTTTCGTTTGGTTGCGCCTTCCGAGATAATTAGACCCTCTTAAATTACATGAACCTGACGTAATTAATAGCATAAAACAGGATCATTCCCGTTAGTGAGGTAAGCTATATAAAAATATCGCGATCTGCATAGCTCATATATATACAGACCCGTACATGCTCGATGTTCCACCTTGGACGCAAGCGGTACGGTAGTGTATGGCAAGCCAAGTTGTCATTTATTCATGGAGCAATGTTGATCCTGTGCTTAACCAAATTATATAAGATATCTTATATATTTTATAAGATATCTTATATATTTTATAAGATATCTTATAATGAATAAATGACAACTTGGCTTGCCATAGTAGTGGTACACAAGTGCTACGCAAACGGTACGCAAGTTATACGGATGACGCTTACAAATGGTGATTCGTTTGTGTTGACAAGAACGGGTTTACATAAAAAGCGGAAGCATATCAAATATCTAAAACGAAACGAATTTACCCACAATGCATAAGACGAAACGTCAGTAAACTGTAGGCTACGAAGAGGCATATAAGGAGGATAATGGATTGAGTGTGATACAATCACAGAAATGTCTCGTGGTTTATAAAGATTAATGTCGATCAAATATTGGTAATATTTCCATCACAAAGACCTGACGTATGCTAACAGATCAACGCGACACACAGATGATACAAAGTTATGGTCAGAAGTATTTCAGAAGATCAATTAATATTGACAGTGAGTAAACTGGTTTCGTTTTTTTAACGCGAAAAGCAATAATAAATAACCCTAATAATATAGAAATAAAACTGAAAGAATTTCAGACTCTTGTGTAATGGGTCTAATACTTTTATGACAATTTTTCTATCATCTTAAAAACTTCCATACCTTCTAGATTTTTCGTAGGAATTTGGAGAGCGAACAACTTGTTTAATTATCATTACATGCAAATGTGTGCATCGGATGTTGGAATTTTTTACATGTAATACCTTGTCTTATAGGCATATTCATTAAATTTCATTCAAAGATACAAAATGTAAACAGTTTGTTGTTATACATATTTTATTTTATTATAAAAACATAGTTGATTCTTGTTTTAGTCTACATTGTATATTGATAAGAAAGATAATGTACATTGTTTTTCAGTTTAAAAGGCAGGCTCGTGCATGTATGTAATTATTGTGAATAAGAAAAATAATATGTACTTATTTTTCATTCATGATATGCACCTTTGGAATTAATAAGAATATAGGTTTTCTTTATCAATTATAAAATGTAGGTATCTATACTGACTTTTCTACAGGTAAATCTTACCTGTCATAATCCTGGTACATTTGTATTTGAGAAATTACAGCTTGCTGGCACACATTGAGGGATGTGTACTCCAGAGGGTATAGGTGTCTGTTGTCAGAAATCAAGGAGGGTGGGGTCTGAGGGCGTGTGTGTGTGTGTGTGTGTGTGTGTGTATGTATGTATATATATATATATATGTGTTACACATGTGTGCTATTTACAGTGAACATCCAAAATAAATTACATAACAATACACACACTCACAACACAATTACAAATTAAAACAATATCATATGTTTGGAGAGTGCAACTATGTCTATTCATAATAATTGAAGTTCGTTACCTCTATTGTATTTTTTATACTCAGAGGTTCTTTCAAATTAAACGTGCTTGTGTTTTTAATGTAATGAGTTTTCCAAAATTTTGCTCGCAAATGAAAAATTACATAAATTACACTCCCGACGATTCTGCTCAATGTTATGATATCGCCCTTTTTCTAATTTTAAGTTATGAGAAGATAATCTAATATTTGTAATTGCTTTCAGATATTCTTTTTGTATGGGTTGTTTTGTGGATAAAAAATATCGAAAAGATATCTATAAATATTCGTGGATATTCTATTTTTTTCTGCACATTCTTTTCCCAAATATTAATTAATCTTTAATTAATGAATATAATTTGTTGTGTCGTTAATATCATATTCCCAAATATAACCTAGGCCAGGTATGTCCCAGTCTCTGATACTGTCCACTATGTAACTTGCTATAAAAAAAAAATAAAAAAATTTACTCACTCCAGACACACATTTCGTGTACATACGTCATAGCAAAGCATACATACAAACATGGCATACCTAAATATATAACATAATACTACCAATAATAATAATAATAATATTTAATATACAACATTTATATAGCGCCCTATATACTTTGTAAAAACACTCTAAAGCGCTTTACAACATATGTGCAACAAACACGGTTTCGTTCTTCATGGAAATGTATTGCGTATCTTTCAAGTCATAATTCCTTGAAAATATTTACATACAATATATTCAGGACATTCAAGACATTCAAGACCCTACAAGGAAACAATATAAACTAATTAAAATCTAGTTAAAAAGTGTTACAACATTTATTGAAAATACAAATGCTTTACATTTGTCTTAATTACATGAAAGCTGAAAACATAGGTTATCATTTATTTTATAATGAAATGTATCCAAAATACATTACATTTATTCAATACTTAACAAATCATATATACGTGTCCAATACAGAATTTTACACGAAATACGTGAAGTACGTAATCTATGTACCTATCCCAAAAAATGGTTCAAGGATCTAAAGATTAATATTCGAGATAGTCGTCAATACGACATACTATGGACTAGCGTGGTAACAACTATTATTGAAATTCCCCGTACTACTTGTCTAGCTCTGTCCACAGTGAACATGTCCGCTGCCAAAGTCCATGATGAATGACTTACGCGCCAAACTTACACAAAGTCACTGACCATATAAAACCAAAACGAGGCACTTGCATACACACTCTTACCTTACACCTGCCAGGTATATCCATACCACAGATAGCATACATCACGTGACACGGACAGTACAGGTACACGGACATAGACACCACATTGACAATACAGGACGAATATTAAGACGCACAGCGCTATGCATATCTAAATGTTAGAATAACATATACTTGCAAATATTATCCCAGTTACATTCTCCCCTCACTTTGAAAATGACGTCCCCGTCAAAGGAACTTGCTGCCAACATGTTAACCTGTAGATAATATGTAGACAAATTATATTTATGAAATGTAACTACTTAAAAACTGAAAGAAGAATGACACATTGCAGCTGAAAGTTAAGAGAATACACCTTGATTTACAAGAGTTCCCACTATTTCTGCCTTGGCGATGATTAAATCATGGTCAACATACTGGTGTTGATGAAAAAGAACAAATTCTCCCTTAGTCATCCAGTCAGGAGGGCGACGTTCTCTCCCACTCCGCCTCGGCACAGGAACAGGCAATCCTGGTGGCGGTTCTGTCTCCTTAATAACTTCTTGCCTGAGTATTGCAAGTATTTTGCCAGACGTCCCTTTCTTGTCTGACATCACTGGCTGTGTCATCCGTTCCTTCCTCACCGCTTTCGCTGGAATCTTCCACTGATATCTCCCCTCCGTTGAGAGCTGATCGTAACCAGGCGAATCAGCGACCACCACAGAAGTATCAAGACCGTCAACCGGTTCCTGTGTGGTGAAGTCTTCCACATGGTTGTTCAAAATCCTATTGGTTTCGGAATCCCGTGGTCCATACTGGCGGTCTACACATATGTATGACTGTTCTTCATCACAACTATCACTGTCTGAAACAGTGTTGGCAATCTCTGATGTAGGTCCAGTGAATGTCTTTTGATGGTCAGCAGGCTTCTCCACTGGGACAGTGGATTCTAGCTTTTCCACTGCCTCAGTACATCAAAATGGCAAAGCTCTTATTGGAAGCAAGTTGTTCCGATTAAGTGTTAAACTCCGACCCTGTCCTGACTCAGACTCTAGCCTGAATACTGGTATACCCGGACTGGGTTGTGCCATTACGATGTACACCTCACTCTCCCAAGCATTATATAATGTATGCTTGCCGTCAAAAGCTTAAGCTTTCACTACAACTCTGTCTCCAATGTTAAGTGACGCTCCTCGGACTCTGAGGTCATATGATGCCTTCTGCCTCCTCTTTGCACTTGTTGAAAATTTAGTAGCTAGATCATAGATGTATGTGGGACGTTCCCGGAGTCCCTTTGCATAGTCAGTGAGAGACATGGGCTCACAAATCAGCTTTTCTATTCCAAAGGAGATTACCAAAGGCAGGCGTGGCTTCCTACCAAACATGAGGGAAAATGGTGATGTGTTGGTTGACTCATATCTGGTACAGTTATACGCGTGAACTAGTGGTGCCACATAGCTCTTCAAATGGACCTTGTCAGGTC